GACTATAAGCTCCCTCACATGAAGAAAGATGCGCTGATATCAGACTTCACAGCCTTCAATGTTGAGTGCGATGCCTATAACTACGAGAGTGCTTTGATCCACTTGAACTGCCGACTTGGCGAGGAAGCATCCATGGAAGTTCTGGTGAATTCCCAGGAACAAAGTCTCGGGGAAGAAGAATATTCGTTTCTGAAGTGACATACAAATTTTAAGATATTTCCTGATGGCTACTCATACTTTAATCCAGTGAAAAACTTGCTAACAACTATTATGGACCAGAGTAGTATCGGATGGACCTTCGCAGGTGGGTCACCGGCTCAAATCTTCGTTCGCTGGACGCCTGCTTTGAGCACAATGGCTCCAAGCCCATCAGCGCGGTTCTCTGGGAATGCGGCTTGGTACGCGTTGCTCAACATACCTTTGACTCCATCGTAATCCGTAGTGTTTACACTGGATCGTACCTTTTCAGGTTCTCCGTCCTCTACTCAAGTTCTCCGACCTGGTTGATGTCCTTGTAGGAGTCTACGACGTCGTCCAACATGGTATTGGGGTCGCTCTCGGGGGCATCTTTGCCCTCCAAGTCATAGAGTACTTTCATCGAGTCAACTACTTGCTCGAGTAGTCGTTCAACGTCAATCCCAATTCTTTTCAGGGAAAGGTCGGAGACTAGGATGTCTGCTCCATTCATCGTGATGTAGCAGATTGACGGCTGGGTACCCTCAGGGGCCCTGCTGACGTGAAGATAGTTAGTCTCATAGCTATTCTTCCGAAAAGCTCTAGTACTTGAAAAACATGACCGTCGGCCTTGTCACGGCCTGCTGGAACAGACTGAACAAGCATGCCTGCCTGGCTGGAGCTGTTTCAGCTCCATAACCATCGGTTGGGGGATGATGTTCAACGTAGCGCCCGTGTCGGCACAATACAACTCCCAATTCATGTTCAACCGCTATTCACCCATTGGGTTAGAGAGGATCTGGTTGATCTTTTGCTTTCTGGAGTACTCGGTGCTTTGCAGCCCGTCTTCCGCTGGGTTCAACGCGTTTTCTAGCGTCGTATTGTATGCATCACCCTCAGAGACTTGTCCGAGCACATGCTCTGCCTTATCCTTGACGACTGCTGCAGGCTTTGCACCATGTCTTTTCGAGGGAGGATTCTTGTCCAAAGGCCGAATTGGGTACCGTGGGATCGGGCTATCACCTTTCGCTCTCGCAATGTCTCATCTGCATCTTTCCGACCTAAGGTCGCTGAAGTGAGAGTGGATAACATAGGAGTATAGGACTTAAGTGAGGTATATTCAACGACTCATTACTACCCATCATCAATCCCAACTCATTGGCCTTGCCTCGGCGTTCCTGCCGCAAGCTCGGTTTGCAAGTTTTCCATGTGTGGCTGCTTTTTTGGCAAAGAGCGAAAGTCGAAGTTGGCTCGGTCGCTTTGACCCTACGAACGAGAATGAGCCTGAGTCCTTTCTGATTTTGCCTTCTAGCTCATCAGAGCTGTAGTCCGACGAGACATCATTTATGTTATCCGGTCTCATAGTTTCTTGATCGGATGCCAGGAGTTGTTCCGGCTGTTTGTCCGACTCCGACCGTACCAGTCTAGTCATTTCTGACTGCCGTTGCGTAAATCCTGAAGGGGCAGCAGTTGCTCTTGCTTGGTCCATCAATGTTTTAGAGGGGCCAAAGCTGTAGCCTGCGTTGCGATCGATGGGCTCTGGGTTTTAACTGCCGTGGTTAAGGTGTCGGCCCTGGTTTTGGTCCCTTCCACCATCGCCACTGCGTCCTTGACCTCGGCCACAACCTTGTTCGCGGCGAACCGATCTGAAATTATCTTTCCTGGACTTCTTGACGTATTACGGCGGCATTCTATCGCTGCCAGGCGGGGGATTGTCTCTTGCCCCGCCATCATTGTTGCCATCGCCTTTGCCACCACCATTTTCCAGGCGGTTTTGGTGTCTGCGCTGCCCGTTGTTAGGATCTTCGGCCCTTCTTCCTGCCGTGTGCGATTGGATTCTCTTCCCGAGGCTCCATCAGACACAGGTCTCCGTTTCTTCTGGTGCTGATTACTTCGCTGTGTCGAAGCTGCGTTGGTTTGCCTGCGCTAGCTCCGTGATGTCCTTAACACAATTCGTATTTTGGGTTCATATTTTAGTTACGATATACCTTTCCAGTTCGACTGGCTAGGAAGGTGGCCTGTTTAACCTTCGACAGAATCTCCGAGAGAATATTTTTCCGCATCTAGTCGTTTTTTAGGTTTTCCGACGGCCCATTAGACCACTCAACCAATTATTGGGTCACTGGCGCAACGTGTTGTAACTTTGGAAATCACGAAGTGACTTCGAAATTCATTTCATGCAAAAATGTGCGATGAGCTATTTCGTAATTG